TTGCGCAACGATGCGTAACAACAATGGAATCTCCCATCGGGAGGGGCGCCACGCAGAACCAAGTTGGCACAACGGAGCCGTGGAGTGGGTAGTTCGGAGCAACATCCTGGCGCAACAGCGCACCATTGTAACACATTGCGGCACAGACGCTTGGTGACATCATACCATTGAGACGCTGCCAGCGGCCGAATCGGAACTTTCTGGGGAATCGCCCAAAAAACCGACTCGCCTGCAAGACCAGAGCGTCGCGGGGCCTGCAAGCAAGAGGAACTGCACTGCGGAAGTTGGTGAGGCGAAGACGGACGCGGAATTGTAGATGCCATGGGCCACTTGGGCGGTGCCCTGGTGAACTCTCTGCCAGGCCACTTGGGCGGTGCCCTCTGAACCGGGCCCCGACGGCCACATGTTAGTAACATTTGGCCGTCGGGGCCCCCCAAAATTGGGGGTGGCACAAGAGCAGGAAAAATCAACGAATCGACACCGGATGTGCATTAACTTGACACGTTCTTATAGGGAGCCTCCTAGGGCCTCCTGGGAGCCTCCTGGGAATCTCCTGGGGACCCCTGGGGCCTGTCCTGGGCGTCCTGCGGCCTCCTGAAGCTGTCTGGGGCCTCCTGGGAGCCACATGTGGTCTTCTGGGCCCCCAGGCTGGACCACCTCTTGCGCAGCATCTGAGAGCTCAGAGGTGCGAGAATGTCTTGTGCGAAACGGGCCGGACAACCTTGCGCACGGCATTTTCAGAGATCAGAGTTGCGAGGATGTCTCAGGCGAGATGGGCCGGACCACCTCGCGCAGTGCATCTCGGAGCCCAGAGTTGCGACGATGTCTCCAGCGTGACGGGCTGGACCACCTCGCGCGCGGCTTTTCCGACCTCAGAGTTGCTACGATGTCTCGGGCGAAAAACCTTTCTGCGAGGAACTCTCAGGCGAAACTGGCCGGACCACCTCGAGCGCGGGGTCTCAGAGCTCCGAGTTGCGGGGGCCTCCTGGGGCCTCCTGGGGCTTCCTCCTGGGCCTCCTGTGGCCTCCTGGACCCCACATGGGGCTTCCTGAAGCCTCTTGGGGCTCCCAGGGGGGGATATCTAACATGTGGCCGTCGGGGCCCCGCAAAATGGGGAGGGGGCCACAAAAGCAAGAAAAATCAACGAATCAACTGGACACGTTCTGAGAGGGGGCCTCCTGGGGCCTCCTGGGAGTCTCGTGGGAATCTCCTGCGGACCCCTGGGGCCTGTCCTGGGCGTCCTGCGACCTCCTGGAGCTCTCTGGGGCCTCCTGGGGCTCCCAGGGGGGATATGTAACATGTGGTCTTCTGGGCCCCCAGGCTGGACCACCTCTTGCGCAGCATCTGAGAGCTCAGAGTTGCGAGAATGTCTTGTGCGAAACGGGCCGGACCACCTTGCGCACGGCATCTCAGAGCTCAGAGTTGCGAGGATGTCTCAGGCGAGATGGGCCGGACCACCTCGCGCAGGGCATCTCGGAGCCCAGAGTTGCGAGGATGTCTCAGGCGAAACGGGCTGGACCACGTCGCGCGCGGCATCTCGGACCCCAGAGTTGCGACGACGTCTCGGGCGAAACGTGCTGCGAGGAAGTCTCAGGCGAAACGAGCCAGACCACGTCGAGCGCGGCGTCTCAGAGCTCCGAGTTGCGGGGGCCTCCTGGGGCCTCCTGAGGCCTCCTGGTGACCTCCTGGGGCTTCCTCCTGGGCCTCCTGTGGCCTCCTGGACCCCACCTGCGGCTTCCTGAAGCCTCTTGGGGCTCCCAGGGGGGGATATCTAACATGTGGCCGTCGGAGCCCCCCAAAATGGGGGGGCACAAGAGCAGGAAAAATCAGCGAATCGACACCAGATGTGTATTAACTTGACACGTTCTGAGAGGGGGCCTCCTGAGGCCTCCTGGGAGCCTCCTGGGAATCTCCTGCGGACCTCTGGGGCCTGTCCTGGGCGTCCTGCGGCTTCCTGAAGCTCTCTGGGGCCTCCTGGGGCTCCCAGGGGGGATATGTAACATGTGGTCTTCTGGGCCCCCAGGCTGGACCACCTCTTGCGCGGCATCTGGGAGCTCAGAGTTGCGAGAATGTCTTGTGCGAAACGGGCCGGACCAACTTGCGCACGGCATCTCAGAGCTCAGAGTTGCGAGGATGTCTCAGGCGAGACGGGCCGGTGTCCGGCGCAGGCGCGGGCCTCAGCGTTCGAGATTCCAGGCTGGGCTCCTCAGGGTCCCAGGGGAGGATATGTAACATGTGGTCTTCTGGGCCCCCAGGCTGGACCACCTCTTGCGCGGCATCTGGGAGCTCAGAGTTGCGAGAATGTCTTGTGCGAAACAGGCCAGACCACCTTGCACAACGCATCTCAGAGCTCAGAGTTGCGAGGATGTCTCAGGCGAGACGGGCCGGACCATCTCGCGCAGTGCATCTCAGAGTTCAGAAGTTCGAGGATGTCTCAGGCGAAACGGGCCGGACCACCTCTCGCGCGGCATCTCCGAGGTCAGAGTTTCGACGATGTCTCAGGCGAAACGGGCCGGACCACCTCGCGCAGGGCATCTCAGAGCTCAGAGTTTCGAGGATGTCTCAGGCGAAACGGCCCGGACCACCTCTCGCATGGCACCTCGGGGCTCAGAATTTCGAGGATGTCTCAAGCGAAACGGCCCGGACCACCTCTCGCGCGGCGTCCCGGAGCCAAACTTTTCGAGGATGTCTCGGGCGAAACGGCCAATCCCGGCCAACTCAGAAACGAGAGTTGTGAGGATGTCTCAAGCGAAACGGCCCAGACCATCAAATTTTTGTGAGGATGTCTCTGCTCCGACTTCCCTCGGCTGGAGTTAGCTTCTATCACAACAGCACCCCGTTCAGCAAGCTGTTTGGGGAACTACCAGACCATGTTTTGACCATTACTGGCTATTCTTCTTGTTGAAAGACATGACCGACTTAACCCCAGATGGCCCCAGTGTGGCCTCCAGAGGCCCCAAGACGCCACCCTCATCTCCCAAGATGGGCAAAAGAAACATGCCTTGGGATGCCCAAAAAATTATAAAATGGCTCCAGGAGGCCCTTTTGAACCCCCGTCTCGCCTAAGATAGCCCCAAAGGTAAACACCCAGAGGCCCCCAAACGCCCCCAAAAGGATCTCCTGGATGGCCCCGCAAGGCCACAAGGAAGCCTCAAGATGGTGCCAAGACGTGCCCAAGTCGGCTCCGCTTGTGGAGCCGGCGGCAGAGGCGAAACCATTCAGATGGGAGGACCAAGGGAGACATGAGAAGGAGGAAAGGAAAGGAAAGGTCTACTGCAAGCTCTAAAGGGCGTCGGCTGTGCATGCGCTCAGGCGAGCACGAAACACCCTTCAGGCACGGCATGCCCTTAGGCGCTTCGGAGAAAATGCCAGAGGAGATGGTACCCCCCACTCCTGGTTCCCCAGGGGGGGGTCCCAGTGGGGAGTCCTTTTCCTCCTCCTTCTCCTCCTCCTTATCTCCGCCTCCTCCTCCTCCTCCTCCTCCTCCTCCTCCTCCTCCTCCTCCTCCTCCTCCTCCTCCCCCTCCCCCTCCTCCTCCTCCCCCTCCCCCTCCCCCTCCTCGTCGTCGTCGATGTCTTTCAGGGTCGGCGGCACCGGCCGTCAGGCCTTCACAATACCGGAGGAGATGGTGTCACCCACGCAGCTTGCTCTGCCACGTACGCCCACGTGGGCTTCTCCTCTTTCTCCGGTGCTGCTGCCCGCTCCCTTCTCCGCGCGGCTGCTGCATGCTGCGCTCTGCTTCTGCAGCACGCTCGCACGCCACAGCTCTGAGGTGTCACAAGCAAACTTAGCAAGGAGAGAAGGATAATGCACTCGGGCGTCCGTTCACGGGGGGCCGAACATGTGGAGTGAAGAAGCGTGCACCTCTCGTACGGCCGGACCTGAGACAGAGGAACATCCTTCAAAAACATGAGGCCCTCCTCCGGCCACACACAGAGAATACCCAAGGGTACCCTCCCAAGGTTGCACAAGAACATCCAGCAATCACGAAAAACATTAGGGTACCCTCCCCGAACCGACCTCGATCTTATGCTCCGGTCCGACCGTACACGTTTTGGGCGCGTGGTGGCAGTCTCAGAGGCCGTTTCGAGCCCCCTTTGGGCCTACATTTCTGCAGCCCTCGATCCCCCAAATGTTGATGGAACCCCCCGTGGCCGTCCGCCCGAGAGGAGGGGGGAGCCCTTGGGCGTCACTCGATGAGGGGCGGCAAATGGGGGAAGAGAAAGGTGCACTTTTCGGGCGCTAGACGCCCCCTTTAGGGTCCCAGGGCCCCTTCAGGGGTCCAAAAGGGTATCTGTTCTGAATCCCTCACTACTCGCCGATTTCGGGGAGACGTAAGACTCGGGTACGGGGGACTCGGGTTGGCTTGACGGGGGCCATCATAAAAATGACGAGACCCGATCTGAAATCTGACGCGAGCTCCCGCTGCAGACATCCCACGAAAACTAGACCGTCAAAATCCAGGACGCGCTCGTCAAAAAGCGTCGGCAAACCTGAGTTCCGGATGTCTCGAATCTTACGTCTCCCCGACCATTCATCGCCCCCCCATTACGCGACGCCGAAGAGCCCTCCTGCTCATCAGCATCCGGGTGGCTGGGGTCTGGGCGGTCCGATTCGCGGAGCGGTATAGAAATGCCGCCACTTGTTTTGGTTTTCTCCGGAGGACAGCCTGCCTGTCTGGACAGAACGCCCAACCTCCGATCAAGCCCCGCCTCGTAGGTGCTGCCGCCTGCGCTCATCACATAGCTGGGTCGACCTGGCTTCCCAGGTCACCTGACATTGCGCGTGGCGCACCGCGATGTGCGACGCCTGGTTGCCTTCGCCGCCCCCGTGGAGGAGGATAGCTCTGCGGCGAGGAGGAGGAGGAGGAGGAGGAGAAGGAGGAGGAGGAGGAGGAGGAACTGCCGCGATGCGCGAAACCCGATTATCTTTGCGCCCCTGGAGGTAACCTGGGCTCCCGACCGACCTCCTTCTCATGCCAGCAGGCTGAGCCGCGGGACCTCCTGGGGCAGCGCCGACGGGGAGTGCCTAGAGCGGCAGAGCTCGTCGACGCGCTCCGACAAGGCGTCGAACGCCTGTGCGCTGGGGGTGGGGCGGGGGGCACCGCTCGTGCCCGCCTTCGAGAGGGGAAGCAGGATCCATCTAGGTCACCTCCAGCAGGAGTTAGAAAAAGAGAAACCTACCAACCAAAAGAAACGCAACCCTGAGACCCCAGGACGTCCATCGATTTTTGGTGTGGGAACGTCACGCTTTCCATCGCAAAACCATCGAAACCTAAGAAACCCAAGGCACCCTGGAGGCAAGCAGGGTATTTTTTGGTATGGGTCTCCACTCTAAGGCTCTCCACGGGATTTTCAAGGATTCCTTAGGATTCCCTGGGGCTTCCCCAGGGCTTCCTCAAGATTCTCTAAGAATTCCCTAGGGATTCCTGAGGCTTCCCTAGGGGGCTTGCCTAGGGCTCCACTCGGGATTCCTAACCTAGGGATTCCTCAGGATTTCCCAAAGGTCGTCCCTAGGGATTCCTAAGGATTCCCTAAGTCTTCCCTCGGGATTCCTAAGGACCCCCTCGGTCTTTACAAGAGAATCCTAAGGATTCCCCAGGGCTTCCCTCGGAATTTCTATGGATTCCTTGGGGTTTCCCTCGGATTCCCGAGGGGGTCCGAAGGATCCCCTAGGGATTCCAAAGACTTCACCAGGGATTCCAAGGATTCCTAAGGATTCCCTTGCGATTCCTAAGGATCCCCCAGGGGTCATCCCGGGGCCGGCAGAGGCGTCGGCACACCGGGGTGCACGGCCACCGGAAGGCGCCCCAGCGGAGTTGCCCTTTCGGGAGACGTCCCTCGGGACCAGCTGGGGGGTGCTACACTTCGGCGCGCGGCCGCCTGACTGGAGGCACCACCGGGGCCGGCGAAGGCGGCGGCACACCTGGCGCGCGAACGCTCTCAAACGGGGCTGGCTGAGAGTGTGCACGCCCAGGTGTGCCCGTGTATCCGATACACGGAGTATAGGACCCTAGTACTGCGTATACACGAAGTAAAAGAACTCAAGTACTCCGGGTATACTGGCACTATGGGGCGTCGCCGGTTTGTTGTTGTTGTTGTTGTTGTTGTTGTTGTTGTTGTATTCTCATTTCTGAAAAATAATTATTGTTGATCCCCCCACCGGTGCATACTGTTTTTTCTCAATCAAAGTGTGCCCCTCGACGCTCGCACCTTGTGTTTTGACAGGGAAAGTCTTCGTGCTCAAACTGGGCCCCTGGCCCCCGGGTTACAAC